TTTCAATTTCCCTGTGACCAGGATTATAGTAGAGGGATATAGTCTTCTCATTCCTTAAATAGAACATTCACAGCATCCTATAAAATGCAACTCTATCTCAAAGTGCAAAGAAACCCTATTAGGAAAATTGATTTTGTGGCCTCAGCCTGAGAGCCTTAAACTTTAAAAGAAATGATAGAAAGGAACCATTTCAAAGATTTGTGTCAGGTATAGACAGTGCAGAAAAAGGAGAAGGAATGAAGAGAGGGGGGAAGAGAAGAAAGAGTTCTGGGCTTAAGCACCAGCAACATTTTCACCATATATACTATAATTAAATTTTATTTCTGTATATTAATGGAAATACCTTTATTGCTCTTTCTGATTATAAAACAATACATGTTCTTTGTATCAAAATTCAAATACAGGAATGCATAAAATAGAATATTAACATACTCTGTAATAGTACCCTCTAACAAAAACACGTTAACAGCTTGGGCATAACCTCCTGCTTTGCTCTGTTGTTTTTGCATATAATATAGTACGTGTGTATAGCAGTAGTAGTAGCAGCAGTAGTAGTTGTGGTTTGTTAAAAATGGAATCATACTATATACTATTCTGAAGCTTACTTTTTTGACCCAGCCATGATGTTCAGCATCTTCCCATGTTAGAAAATAGAGTCCTTTTTTTAATTAATACCGTCAGAATACTCCATTGTATGACTCTTCCATCATTTATTTAACCAATCCTTGACTCATGGACATTTTAGTAGCTACAACATTTAGCTACAGAATATATCAATGTTCATACACTTTTTAAACTTGTCTAATTTTAAATTCTTAAAACTTGTTATTTACACTGGTACACTATAATGCTGCAGATTTGGGGGGAAAAGGGAAGCCTTCAAATAATTCATCCAACAAGCAATAGACCTCTCCGACTATAACCCATTCTTCTCTACACCTGGCACATAATTTTTTTCCTTTAAAAAGCATTTTTATTGTTGCTTAACATTCATATAGAAAAGTATGCAAATCATAAAGACATAATTTATTATTTATGTGTTCAATTTGAACACACC